GACGGCACGAACTTTATAGAGGAAGGTATTCGTAGCCGAAATTCTATTTACAGGTGCAATAGGAAACTGGCAATATTATTTATACTTTATAGAGCAAAATGAATATGTCTGCAGTCGAGAGAGGAAGTTGTTGGCCTGATAACAGCTCTTAGCTCACGTACAGTGCTAAATGCGGTGCGCATAAATATTGATGTGTTTTTTTCTGGTTTTGAAATTATTTGGCCCAAGAGGAGCTTTCCGCTCGCAACTTATCCAGGTGTAATCCCCTAGAATTCAAGCATGTTTTTTTTAGTACAGTCTATAATTGTCTTCAAGGTAGTATCCTTGTCGAGTGATGCTCGAGTTCTTCCACTCATCCCTCTAAAATTGAGTCAAACACACGGAAATGCGTCAAACGAGATGAAATGAACCCCTCTTTTACATACATACGGGAAGTTCAACGAGTTCTGCCTTAGCCGATTGTCTACTTAAAATTTAGCGAACGTTCAATGTAATTCAAACTACTCAGACCTGGTCATCTTTGTGAAGGTCTGTGTAATCTCCTTTGGACAGAGAAGACACTGTGAAGAATTTTAAAGCTATCTGTAAATTCTTTAATACTATTAAAGGTTTTATGATCTTAACAACAGTCGGACCACCTTTATCAATTTTGCTCCGATGGATTTTCTCTGTCTTGAAATGCAGTTGCTTCTTCAGACTTATTAACTCAATTAAATCAACACAGACAACCGTAAAGGATCAGTAAAAGATCGATCACAGTTGAAGTGGAGGTCTGGTTAATTCCCCCATCAGATCCCGAAAGGAAGGATTTAAAACTATTTGATCTTCAATAATTTTTTCTTAAGGAATTCGTGAAATCGACAGAAAGAAATCATCTGAAATCCATTGTCGCCAATCATCTTTGGCCACTTTCCAATAATAACACGGTTCGTGCGCAAAGGGAATTCTCCAAACACGCCTGGGAATTCCTTCAACACAGTCAAATGTTCCTTATCTTTGGCTAATTTGTAGTGAAAACGATTGTCAGCTCCGTAGAATCCTGGCTCCAGTCAGGAACAGGTGTCCCGCCTCATGCACGGTCTTAATGATTTAAATTTCCCGTATTGTTGAATCCCGATGTTAATAGATTCCAATAGATGAAATGATTTTGCTCGTTCAAAAATACTTTTTTCATAACATTTCAGTGGAATTATCTGGATTGGAAAAGTAATTCAAACTTTCCCTTTGTGGTTTTGCAATGAAATTTCCAAAAGAGTTTGTTTTGTTTTGGTTTTTTCTTTAGCTAACGGGCGTACTTGAAAAAGAGTATTATAAATTCATACAATTCAAATAAGTAGTCCTCCTTCAAGGATCATAAAATGATAAGATCTTGTTCTCACAAACAAGGAGAACAATTCAGCTCAATCTCATAAAAAACTTTGTAGTTATAAGTGACATTTAAGGTAGTCTGACTCCATCCAGAAAGATTTCGAGATCCCAGTAAAGATTCGGGTGAAAAAGATTCACAAGAGAAAAAGATTCACCAGAATAGCGTCGAACCAAGGTCCTCCCACATTTTTCTAGCGTCCATTATAAACAATGTGGATTTGTATTTATGTATCTTTATCGAGAGATGAAAGCTTTTGAATGAACTTATCAGCTGCTTATTCGCGACAGCTATTTTATCAGTTTTCAGCAGTGTCTGTCTCCTATGGTCTTTGTTACCAAGGTATTATGTTATATGGTCATGCAGACTGCAAGCCAAAAGCACAGCACGCCCCCACAATGCTGCCATCATTGTTTTTTAAAAAATCATCTGGTTCACAATTTTTTATGGAAAATCTGTTCAGATGTGCATCCTAAATTGGCACAAAACTTAGATTTCTCTGAATCAAATTTTCACCCAAACTCTTTACAGTTGTTTACCCATTTAAAACATTGAAATGTGAGGGCAGGAACTGCATATTAACAGCCAGTATGAGAAATGGTATCCTTGTTTCAAAAGACTGGCACTAATTTTAACAAATCATTGGTATCTCTTAGCCTAAGAAATCTAAACTAGTCAAAAGGATTTGTAACTTTGCCTAAATCCCTTTGCAATATGAACTCCAAGGGGACCTCAGAAACGTCTGTGAATTATGTAACGATTTCATTTAATCGCAAAAGAATTCCCATGTAACTATATACGTCGCAGCTCAAACTACACTTAGAGTTCGGCGCCCAAAGTCTGCCGAAGAAACAAGTTTTTTCTAGCATAAAACTGCGCAATTGACCCTCCAAGAAGCACAATGGGTTCCTGCTGTGAAATCAAAATGCGAGTAATTAATATGGATTGTCATCTAACAATCTTACACCATGTATCAATTGACCTTGAGGCTGAACGTAGTATGTTCAGAAACTCCTTTTATTACACGATCTCTTGTGAGCTTTTTCGATGGGTTGAGAGAGAATTTTGCCAAGAAAACATACGATAGTTTACGATGAAAATCGTGTACGTCCTTAGACGACGAGCTACCCTCTAACCCTATCGGAAATCTCCCATATCAATCAAGTCATCGATATGTGGTAACCGGTGATAGCTCACTAACCAGAGCGGAAATCTCGAAATACGCCTTCTATTTGACGAGCTAAATGACTGGAATCAGCTGAAGTCCGAGAAAAAAACCGTGAGTTCCGTCAACTGAAAATGAACTCTAAGGGATCGGAAATGTACTCCATTGTTACAAATATCGTTAAAGGAATAACGTCTGTATGTAACACTGCGCCTTTAAAAGGAACTTGAGGGATATAACTTTCTCTGAATTTGTACTCGTCTTTATGTCCATTGATAAAAAGAAGACGGTTTCTCTTTACCATACTTCTCTTTGCAGAGACTCAGAAATATGACCGCTAAACCAGGTAGACAGATACTAGTGTCTAATTTCAAAGCAATTTCTCCAGTACGAAAGGGACAAGCATACTAGACACCAAAACAACCTCCTGCCTATCCTGTATCCTCTGTTGATGTACCGTCTCCCAGATAATATAATGCCTTTGTTCAGTATGGAAAGATTTCGTGGAGCCGATGGATCTAGGAGAAAAAAGGAGCCCTGTAAATTCTCAATTATTTATGCAACGAGATTGATTGCAAAAGATATTTTTTCGAAGATAAGCTTTTAAAATCAAGTTTCAAGATTAAAATTTCTTCCAAGATAACAGCTCACGCCCTTTTCTTTGGTTATAGCTTCACTGAGATGAAAACCCTGGCCACTTAATATCCAATTAATTTTTTTGCCATGTTTTACCACTTTATCTACACTCTCAACAAGATCCTGTGATCTTCGTGAGCCAAACCGTTACCTTGAGTTTAAAGAACACAGCAATCATCCAACTCAATTAAAGTAATAACGACGCACAGATTAAAGTCTTGACAAATGACTTGTGGACATCATCCATGGTCAACTTGAAATTTGTCAAACTTCCTTGTAACGTCATTACTTTGGAGTGGTTTCCTTTGGTATACTACGCGGTTCTCTGTGGCGGACACCACTTGCCGAGAGAACTTATAAACAGCCCCCTTAGAAACATTTCTATTTAGGGGAAATTCTTCAAGGTGTTTTGTACAGGTTTAAGATTTTTCGGCCGGTTACAAGAAGCTCTCCAAGTGCCTGGAAGGAAATAGAGATTGTCACCTTTTTAGAACTCATAAGAGAAGCCGCCCGGAGATTTTTAATGCTCCGCTTTCCGAAACTATCATTTCTAGTCACTGACAAAATTGTAAACTGTCACATTAGAGTAGCCTATTCAAGAATTTTCCATGGAAAATTAGTAGGAAGGTTTTCTATCTGAGGAATGTTAGCCGCGACACGTGCGCGCAGATGATATCAGCTTTCGATAAGACAAAAAAGGGATATAAGTTTGTTTGGTATTTTGTTGACATACCTTGATGAGCTGTAACACAGCAATAATGTGGGATTCTGTTGGTTGTTTGGTTCACACTGTATATTAGCCAATAATTTGGACATTTTTATTATCTGTGTTAATTTACTCTAACTATTATCTTACTCCACCTAATCCTCGATCTCGTATTTCAGCTCAGTAGCAGGTTGACTACAGTTCACGCTTCTAAATTGTTTTGGAACAAACGTTAATGGGGCTACATCCGACAAAATCTAAACCTGTGGCTAGATATGAGTGCAAGAACATTTTTCACATCCTTTGCTAAGCGCAGGAAAAACCAACTCGTGAACTCGACATGGCTGTATAATCAAGGCTCGAAAATCTTCATATCTCACGGCCAATTAATCTTCCAAACATCCGTTTCTTTTTTCAAGTTGTTAAATGAAGTAAGTCGGTGGCTTTCAGACACTTTTATTGACATATTGTTCTTTAAGTCCAATAACAGGTACGACTTAATCGATGTGTTATTCTCACGAACCATTTAAGTTGCCGCTGCACCTTTTAATGGGCAACAGAATAATTTACTCTGAGCGTGCGTTTTAGCACCCGCACCCCTTTGATCGCTGTCGTCTGAAAAAAATCGCTCGCTCAAGAGACTTGTGTCTAAACACCTGTGGCATCAAATTTCACTCAATGAGCAACAATTCTCAGCATTTAAAATTTAATTAAGGCGTGAAAAGTTTAGATTGACACCTAGAAAGGTCACCCAGCGGCCGACGATAAAAGATTGTGATAAGCATCTTAATTACATTTACAGTTAATTGTTCCTAGCAAGTACTAGGGGGCACACCTTATTAATGGCCGAGACTTATGTCTCCTCCTACATCTCAGATTGTACTTTGCAATGTTTTCTTGAGGTCGTGTTGGATAGACCACTGACTAGGTTCCTTCCTTCGCTGAGAAGGAGTCGGTTACACTTGTCCTACATTTCCGTTAACACTTCCTAATTGTTCTTTGCGGCCGATTTCGCTTTTAATTTCCCACAAAGGCGCGCGCCTGATTTGCCGGTTGACGTAACGGGTGTAGCCGTGACGCATGATAAAAGGTTCGCGGCAGGCCACTGGCATTCAGTTTAGTGCAGTATGGCCTTGGGGGTGAATCTGCTTCGGGTATTAACGCTTCTCACGCTACAGTAAGTAATTTGCTAATTGTCCCAATTCAAGGCTTTGAAAGGCCAGCGAATCGAGGCTTCCTATGAAAATGAGATCGAATGAGATTACAATTCAGCGCTTCCAATATAAATGATTGCGTCTTCCTGAAGTATCATCAATAATTTTTCACTTGGCTAAGTACTAAAGACCGGTTTCTGTGCTTTAACAACCAAGTAAATCCTACATTGACGTCATTTTTTTGTTTCAGTTCATTACTGCCGGATGGACTTGCTGAAGAGAGCGGTGTTAATCAGGTAATCGAGACTGATCGTGATTCTTGCAAGAACCAAATTTTAACAGAATTGCATCGTGTATTTAACTCACGCAGTTTGTCGTTCTTTCATGTATTTTCTTCTTAGAAACCGGAAGAAAAAAAGGTTTATGACCAACATTATTTGCAACAGAAGGCCAAGAGTGACACAAATAGCGTAGCTTTTCGGAGATTCATTCAGTTGTACTCAAGGAATAGCGGCCGCCATGTTAGAATCAATCCAGATAGAAGCGTAGACGCCATCGGTGAAGACGGCGACAAATACGGTACTAACTCGAAAATTGCTTTGTTACTGTATAATTAATATTGTAAAAGCTTGTTTACTCTGGCGGTTATTACTTGTCTGTTGCCTTAAGCTTAATGCTTATTGTGAAAGCGGCCTCTTACACTTTTGTTTCTCAGTTTGACAGGTTTTAACGGTAAAAATGTCGCTTTTACACTTCTCTTCTTGAACATTGAAGTTTTCTTTTTCTCATCTTTGAAACGAGTTGACTGTTTTGATGCCTGTTATGTTTTGCGGGAATTTTTGAAATAATCTTTGGAGCATTTTCAAGAAAATTTTGTGCGAAGCCCAAAGTTAGGACTTACTTTGCTTTTTTCTGTGTACTAAAGCGGGAGTGCATGGCATAGACATTTAAATGGTTTTTCTCTCTCGAACTCTGTATTATCAAACCACAAGAAGGCTTGTTTATTCGTTTCTTTCTCCAACTTGAAGTTACGTTTACGTTTGTGAATGCAGCGAAAATCAACACTATGATCACATGCTTGTCAATAGTTTCAGAAAATCATAAATTTTTCGCATTCTTTCTAAATAATACAGGGTATTTTGAAGGCAGAAAGGTTAATTGTAGCTATTATTAGTACAAATGCAGGTTCTTTGAAAGAAATCCCAAATTAAAAAAGTTATTTTAAACCTTACCCACAGGAGTACTTGTTCTTTCGACAGACGAGCCAAAAGTGCGTGATAAAAAAGTCTCGTCGCCCTTTCGACATAGCTCGGGTTACTCCTTTCCACAGTACCTCGTCAAAAATTCAAGAGTCTCAATAGTGTTTGACGCAAACTTATTTGATTGCCAAGCTATGAGAGCTTTGTTTACATAAGTGTGAAAGGAAAAGAAGTCCAAGAATCTGTCAATAATTGAGCAAACCCATTTGCAAAGGAAGACCTCTTAAACTGCAACTTTTTGTTGAAAAATATGTGTGATTTATCAACATCCTTGAAGTGCGCTTATAGTTGACAGACCAACGAATCGCCGTGGTAGGTTTATTGTTGCGTTTTGAGAACCCGTTTTCAAATACTTAATCCTCTTTTCGTTAATTGTATGAAAGAGATTTCGCGACAGGTAACAAACAGTTTTGCATCACACGAAGGCGCTTTTAATAATTACTGCCACAGCATTATAATTGCTACCAAGTGACCGTTGGTCTAGCGACAAAAATAAACAAAGAGAAAATGTCCAGTTTCGCCTTTAAAGTGACCTACTCGACCAGATATATGACTATATTTTAACACGTTCGACAGTCTCGAGTTATCGACTGTAACATTCTAATTCGAACCTTTCATCGGTAAAGTAAACAACAAAGAGGAATGGATAGTTGGGTTTGCATAGCTGCCATTTTGTTTTGTTGCGGTGCGAGGAGGCAGAACTTCAGAAAACCGCAATTTGGTGTCTACACTGTGCGATCTCCCTGAGAGTTCAAACAATTTTACGACGTTTTTGAAAATTCTAGAGACTTAATGCATCTGGTATTCAAGTCGCTCCACAGAAATAGAAATGTCGCCCTTCTTTGGTTAAAAAAAAACCTCTGAGACAGTCATCGATCAAACATATAATTCGATCACGTCTAAATATACTGAGGCCATCTTTGTACTTCAGTTTTTTTAAAAAGTTATCTATAGAATATCATTGTAGTCAAACATTTTTTTTAAAGTACCTCTGACAGTTTTATAAGCCATCTCTTTTCTTTTACATAGTCACACTATCAAAACATGCAACTTCTGCATACCCACTCTATCGGTATTCTACCCACATACAGTGTACTTGTTACTAACTAAACTCGATTAACCGCTTCCCTCCCCTACCTTTTCCTGACCCTTCCTAAACTTTTACAATTTTTTCATCGCAGCCAAGTTGGTCATCGAATCAGTCAATTTTGGACGAGTTCGTATTAAAGGCTCAGTTTCCAATTTCTATCTCTGCGTGGACAAGAAAGGGCGACTTAGAGCAAGGGTAAGTGGAAAAGTATTAGACAGTGTTAAACAAGTATCACTGACTAACAGTTGGGCGGCAAGTACCTTGATTGTCATATTTGCTCGCAACGTTACTTAGGACCGGAACCTGCTTAGAATAGCTATTGTAATTACGTGATTAAGTCTATTTTTGTTTCATGTTTTTCTTTTTTACGAAAAAACAGTCATAGTTTTCCGTACAACAAAAGAGGTAATCTTTAAGAATTTGTCTCTTATACATATCAGGTGTAATTGTCAGAAGGACTATTTCATCCTAATCAGTCCTTCTCTACTTTCAAAGAAATTTTTTTCGAATAAGGGACAAAAATGGTTCCTTTTCACTGTCACTGATCAGCTGATCTTTCCACTAATTGATTCAGACTAAAAATAATTTAATTCATTAGTTGCAAGAACAATCGGTAGTGCTTTTTATCATGATTTCCTTCCTCCACGCGAACATCTTTCAAACGCGTTCAAAAGAAAACTAATTAGTTTAAAAAATACCGTAATGCTCTGATGAGCTTTCTGAACCACTTCAGCTTACGTGTTAAGTCGGTAACTCTTCTTGTATGAGACATCAAATGTGTTGATCTCACCAAAGAGTGCCGTGTAACACCTTTTGAGGTCTACCAAGTGTTGATTACATGCGGTTTTGCAGCCATAGTGACACATTTGCAAGGAATGCTATAAATGCCGGATAGGTGCACGCCTATGTACTGATTGTAGGGTTTCAAAATGGAATGTTATCGAGCTAACACCTTAATATCTTCATGCCGTAAATAAAACCCCGGTGACGCATGTAAGCAAATGCTTGAGACCTCATACGCAATTTTATCTTGATAAAAATAATCTGTGCAAGGTCATCCCTGCCATGCAATTTGTCTTCACATTGACTGCATGCCTTGTGTTTTCAACCGCTCACTTTATCCGATCGTCTTCCCGATAAGGCTTGATTAATGTTAGCTTAATTGAAGTATCCAATAAAGATTACGTGACTGGATCTCTTTAAAAAAAGTATTCTTCAGAGGCAATGCGTTGGACATTTACTCAAAGCCTGCAAGCATTTGTCTTAAAAATTGCTTAGGATACAAATCACTGTGGAAATTAGAAAGTTGCCGATGAGTATACTAAAGAAATGCTACTGGTCCGCCCAATGGAATTAACTAGAAAATTGCTTGGAGGACAAAATCGGATAAGTGTTCTCAAACTGTCAGAAATGAGGCAAAGAAGGAAAATCAATCAATCAGTAAGACAAAATGTCTCCTAAAATCGTTTTAGCATGTTACATTTGCCAGCACAACAGTCTTTTTAAGACTTGACCGGTCTTAGTTCGTTTCTTAGCCGTGTTCGAAAGTCTTTTTTTGTTGTAGGATAATAGACCGTAACAAATATTGACTGAGCCAAGTTTTTCAGCTATTTTCATGACGTTATTATCATTCTGTATTACCACGTATAACGCGGACAAGTTTTCAAAGCTCTAGCTTTGAACAAATTCGTGCACTTTATAGACAAACACAACATGACACAGACGATGTCAGTTTGACGCTTGGCGCGTTTGCCCACATAAACAGCATGTAGAGCGAACTAGAAAAGGACAGAAAACCAGCACATTCAAATAAGCCTGCTGCTCCGCACAATGCAATGAAAGAACCACGCGGAAAGTTCAAACGCGTTGTGTCTGTACCGCAATATCTTCCGCACTGTACAAGTTAATCTTTCTGATGTGTCTTACGATGCCGCCGATCTCGGTTTAGTTGTAAGTGCGTGGGAGGGTTTGCCAAGGATGATAGTTTACCAAAGGAAATAGCACAATTTAGAATAATTTGTCGCCTGAAACTGGTAACTTACTTTGAAAAGAATGATAGAATTTTTTGGGTGGCTTCATCTGAGGAAGTGGCAAGTTGACAAACTTATTACCTTACTACGAGGGAGGCATACTCTTAGTTTCAACACACGAAACAACAGCTCTTGTCATTGCCTGTGCCATTCTGTTATGTTTCCGAGGTTACTTTCATGAAAACAAAAACGTTTTCTAGAAGTTTAACAAGGTAAACATTTTCAGACAGATAATCGGTACATCTAACGCAAGTTTGCATTTCTTACTTGATTCTTCTATTTATATAATGAGATGACCATGTGTCATCATTTACCTTTCTGAATTGTTGCCTATATAAGTATTGAACTTCTTCTCGTCTTGTGCTAGCAACTATTTTGTTTTGAAAACTTGCTTACTACTAGACCATTTGTATGGGAAGTTACGATATATCTATTTACGACTGAAGAAGTTTTAACTGGATACTTGTTCTAATGATAACAAGGTAATGATTCATCTCCTCTCAGACTTTACATGTGAACGCTTTACAGTCTCATACATGTATGCATTATACGAACCTTGCTGGTCTCTGAACAAGCCAGGCCAATTGTTTTCCACTCCTCTGGGAAGCGCTTGACTGTTTCTTCACGTCACCTCCGTGCTGTTTTTTGTTTTTATACTTTTTGAGAAGGGGGGGTAATTACCGGCAGCTTTACGGCTTCCCTAAAGACCAGCTACCCTTCATATAAAGAGTTCCATAAGACTCAACACTAAATAACAACAAACGTTTGTTGAATATCCCTCAACAGAAAAGAGGCAAATGGAAGGACAACTGCGAATTTACAGACCGTGTGGCTGATAACGCTTACACCGAATTCACCTCTGTAAGGTATAACAAGAGTCTCATCGCCTTCAGCAGAAGAGGACGACCGAGACCGGTGCTGAGCACAGAAAAAGGGGGAGTCAAGGCCGTGCAGTTCATAGAACGAGCATCAAACATCAAGCTCCTCAGAGGAAGAAAGTACTGGAGAAAAGGCGGCAAACTTGAAGGAATAGATTTATATCGTAAAAAGCAGGTAGAGAAGATCTATGTGTCGATGAAGAAGTGGCGAGAATTCAAGCGATGGCTGAAGTTTAATACCCGAACAGCCTCAGCTAAAGTAAACTCTACAACAACGGCTGCGACGCCATTACAACCAACTGCTGTACAGTTAAGTAGTAGGCCAACTAGTTTTATGAAATATTCACGGGATAAAGGGCGAACTTAGGTCTGAAGTGCAAATTGTTGTATTGCAGAACAATCTTCACCTCTGCAATAGTGACAAAAAACTTACTGGTGAAGTTGAGTTCACTCTGAAACCTCCTTAGGTATGTCTTCGAGTAGCAGCTAAAGAAGATAGTAGTGCGATTGTTGGTTACGTTTCAATTAAACCGGGGATTTTGTCAGTCCCGAAATCTGACAGCAACAAAAACAGGCGAGTTTCTGTTGTGTAGACAGTGATTTGCACATTGTAATTAAATTTACCATAATGCAGAAATATATCAAGTAATTGTAAAATCTTAAAAGCTTTTTAAAGAGAGCATAGAGTAGGCACATTTTTATCGCCTTGTAATTAATTTCAAAAAGACAAAATTTTCTTTTGAATTTCGCTGCATTTACAACGTTAAGTTGGTAAGATATAGGGCTTGTTTTGTTTCTTAACCTTTTCGCTTCTTTCCGCCTACCAAAAGTCAAATTCATGGCGGTGAAAAAAAATGCTTTTAGCTTAGTGTCGGAGTTTGTACGAGTGCGAAGGCGCATCAAATGGTTGTGAGCAGAGATTCCACTGCATCAAAAGAAAGCCCTGAGGTGAAGGACCACAGAACACAAAGCGTCTCACTATATCGGATACTGAGAGAGGAAGGGTTAGATTATAAGCAAGTAATTTTATAGTTTTTTTTTTCTTTGAAATTTTAAGTCTAGCTATTAAGGCGACAATGGATTGTTTTTCTGGGATCCATTATTAACATCGAACAACACCTCACGGGAGCTTTTGTATATTTATTTATTGCTCCTGGTGGGAAATAAAGTTCAAAGGAATTTTGCTTCTTAAAGTCATCATTTAAAGGAGAAGAATGCTCAAGAAACATACAATATTCTTCTTCTTTAGTGGGAAAAATACACGGAATTTTGACACTGACTGCTATTTGAGATTTAAATGAGTAACTCTACCGTTTGAAAATTGACTTGAAGTGTGCTACAAAACGGCCACGGACGCCGACATCTTAAGTATTGCTTAGCTACGTGACCGCTTACCAATACTGACTCAAAAGAGGGATTACTGCGATACCCATACCCAGAGCAGAAGCTGTTAGCGAAAGTGGGTTGTACTTCCGCCATTTAATTGGTGTGTGGGGGCAAATAACTGAGTTGTTTATAGTATAGCGGCCTTCGTCCTTGGTTAAATTTTTAGCACATTTGATAATTTAAGATAAGATAATTTTCGCACGGTGTGGTTCCTCTTTACAATCTGAAAAAGTGGTCAGACTTAAATTTCAACAAGGTTTCAGGAGCAAACGTCACCTTGACGAGGATGCGACACTAAGCCGAACAAATAGGCTTTATTAATTATCCTAGTAATACTGCAATATATATTTATAATTTTTAAAACGTTAAGCAGTGAAGGAGTTGAATAGGGAATCCAGACTAAATCTTAGGCTTAAGAAAAAGTTGAATAGGAGAGGTAATTCTGTAATCGCCAGCTTATTACCTGTATAAAATCAGTATCTTTTTCGCTGTAAACCTTACTAAAGATATTTAGCCTTATTAGACCCCATTCACACGAAAGCTTAAGCCTCTTTTTAAGTTTTTTTCGTTAAACGCAGTTGAAAATTGTGTTCTTCATAGAAGCTGCAAAACCCGATGTTCATCGACTTCAAAGTTGGCACTTTGAAAGTAAAAGTTAGTGACTACCTGTAAACTATGGAAAATTCAGTTTTCTTTTCCCTGCTTCTGATTTTCATTCAGTTAAATCCGGTTTTACTAATCATGTTTTGCTAGTGTGAATGGGGTATAATGTCTAAAATCTGTATCTTTTGTGCTGTCTTTTTGTGCTAATTCTTTGCTTAGTCACGTTTACTCGAATCTTCGGGCCGGTTATTTGAAAGGCGGTTAGCGCTTATCCAGGATTAAAATTAAACCTTGATTTTTGCTCTGTTGCAGAAAAACGTTTGGTTGTGCTGACAATTTGAGGTCTGTCTGACAATTAGGAAAAACTAAGGGAAACAAAGTATCTAAGTTTAGACTGTCATCAAAGTTAGTGAACTTTATGAAACGTGCTCTAGTCCTGGGTTAGTCTAATCTTGTTTTCAGCAAACCGACCTTGACTGTTAAAGCCATGCGCTTTTCGTTCCTACAAATTTCACCGGGCTCTGAAAACTAATATGCATACAACCGGTCTGTACCTAAAAGCGCGGAGTTTTAATTTAAAGTCATGCGACTACACAACGATGTGTAGTTTCCTCTAAGGTTCTTCGAACCGTTCCATCGTATGTTCAAGTTATGAAATACTGAGTTCATAGGTATACTGTAATAAGATCATACTGCAATGATCGTTCTTTATACCTATCAAGTGTATTAGAGTTGTTTAAAACCAAAACCAGGAACACTGGTTGTTGAAAAACAGACGAAACGCAAATGCAATACAACGTAATATGCGTGCATAGTAGATGAAGAGTTAAGGGAATTAAGAGACTGTGGACAAAGGATTTGTCTCGAAAATAACTTCTCCTCATCTGTATAAATAGAAACATTATAATAGATTATGTAGGTAATACGAATGATGCAAACACGGCTTACAGCCAAATGTCCTAAACAAAATGCTAAAAATTAAAAAGAGGAATGTGGAAAATGTGTCGCATTCGCATTAGTAAATTTACCCCTGAAACGAAACAAAAGACCATGAGCTGTTCTTGTTGAAGTAACAGCTCGAGTAAGACAAATGAATCTAGCTTTTTTTACCAATTTGTAAGCTACACTAAATTGGAGATTTTCGTTCAAAAAAGTGTAGCACTGGTATATCGAAGATTTAATGCTACTTCTGATTTTTGCCACTCTCTCATTCCATGATATTTAACAATTACACCGAAGTGGAGGTGCATAGCCGCGGCTCGGTAACCATCCACCACTTAAACCGACTCGAAGGTAAATGATTGTGTATACCACATGGGAATCAAAGAAATATCTTTATTTCTATCAAAATAACAAGAAATGGTCGCAAACAAAACTCTTGACGAAAAATCTTGTCCCTTCAGCTGCTTAGAGGTCAAAAGTGCTGCTTATCACCCCCGGTTTATCCAATCAGTGCGTGCAAAAAGCACTATGCACCTGTGTGGTACATGCAATTTATGTCCGGCTGGATTTTTTAAAACTGGGTAGTCAAGGCAAGGAAATGGAAGAGCATCTTTCAAGGTAATACTGGATCAAAGGCCTGGACACTGTTTTTTCCAAATTAGGGGCTACTTAGCTTCAGCTCTCGTCTAATGCGTGAAATCCAGAGAGACAGCGATGACTGATGATAAATACTGGTATGGGGGGGAGGTGGGTAACCCGACTGTCGTCAGTCTCCGACTGCTATTTCTGTCCGAGAGCCTAGTTTGAATCCTTTTCTCTACGGGTCAGGTTACTAAGGACAAAGAGCGGAAGGGGGCTCTTTGATGCTGGCCATCATCAGGGTATGCATGGACAGGATTATCAGAAAGAGCGATTTGGGTCCTTTTGAACTAATTCCAGGGGTGTGGCACAAAACTTAAGCGTAAGTTGTCTTTGTGTGCCTTTCTTGTAACGACTATCATTAGCAGCATCTAATTCTAGGGGTGTGGCTAAAAACTGTGGTGTGAGTGGTCTTTGTGTGCCTTCCCTGTAACTACTAGCAGTAGCAGCGATTCGTAATAGTTCTAACTTGGCTTGACTTCTACTGAATTTCACACAGGGTTTAAGCAGTTTTCTCTCCTAGCCAGTGCCTTATTGCCTTTGGCAAAGAACTAGCAGTTTTTTTCTTTTCTCTTTACTTTATCTTATTTCCCTTTTCTCAATGCCAAAAGAGGCAGACACTAACATTTCGCATGCGATTTTTTTGTGCATCTAAAGGAAGCCATCAAAGTCAGCAGGGGGCTGGTACATACGAGAATTGCAGAGCCTGGTGAGACTGATTTTAGTTTCCACTAAATGTAAACTTTAACTTGGCAAATAGTGGGAGGAGTTGAATATTTTGGTAGCTTGGTTCTCAAAACTCCTCCTATGTGGTTTGGGGTCTGACCATAGTCCTCATAGGATTTTTACTTGTAAGCCTCAAGTTCGTGTACCTCTAGGCCTAAGCTTGCGTGAACTTGAACCATTATTAAAACGCCTTCTAGGCTCTATTTCAGTATTTTCCTTGACGGGGCAGTACAGCCATGGGTAGTATGGCTACCAATCTTATTCATTAAGCTTAGAGAAACGCAATATAAAACTGGACTCTGCACTTTTGTAAACTAAGAAATATTGCTTTGTTTATAGACCCAGGTCTGCTTTTGCATGTGGAGTATAACCTGTACATTGAAGATAATACTGAAGAGAACCACAAACGAAGTACGGCTATCCATATCCTTTCTACTAATTATTTTGCCTTTAATCTCTCAGAGAGGGTTTTCTCACAGAGCAAAATCGCATTCAAACCTGGAATTAGCAATTATGGGAATTGATATCACCATTATTTTTTTTGTAATATTCAGGAACAAATGCCTATCAATAGTGTTGGGCTCCCGTCAGAAACGAGCCAAAAATGACAAAAGTTGAAATGTGCAACAGATAATGAAGTAGTTATGAGATTCTAGAACTTAGTCAGTGAGCCATCTTTCACCTTTAACACTGTAGAAAATTGCGTTTACACTTTACAGAGTACCTAATGCCTAGAGGCTAGAGATGATGAACTCATCCTGTCTCTGCACTGACAGAAATCTATCTCGAAGACTACAACGCGTTTGTAAATGCAAATTGCGTTTAAACTTTACAGAGTACCTAATGCCTAGAGGCAGGAGATAATGAACTCATCCTGTCTCTGCACTGACAGAAATCTATCTCGAAGACTACAATGAGAAAGCATTTAGCCTTTAAACGCCTAACATTGGTTAGCTTCTAATTTCTCTTAACAGTACTGTCTTTGAATCAATTGTAAAGGTCATGAGATTAATGGAAATGATCACCAATCTAAGAAGTTCTTGATTGTCCAACAAATTCTCCTTTTCATTA